ATCCTTCCTTTTTGGGATCAACATTTAATTTCCAAAAATTGCCGCCAAATTTGGGGGTAAAACAGTTTAAGGGATATATTATATTTATATTTCTTTTAATAATTTAATAATTAATTATTAAAAAAACAATTTGCATTGTAAAATTTATTGAATTTATTTTTTTTTAAAAAATTATTGATATGTATATTTGCTTTGCTTTTTTAAAAATACTCTATTTTTTTTTTATTACGATAATCTTTTTTTTTGCAATTTTAAATTAATATTCAATTAATATTCAAATAAATATAAATATAAAAAGTATTTTTAATATTTATTTTTTTTAATTTATTGTATTGTGATATTGAAAAATTATTTATATCAGACCTTTAGTATTGCTTATGATTTGAAATTAATTAAAAGTAAATTATTTAAATTAACTTAGAAACTTTAAATAAAATTTATTATACTATATCTACTATTAGGTATATCTATTCCGTATTCTATTTAATATATATAGGCTATATTGAACTACTGATAAAATTTAAAATGAATTCTTAGAAATAATGTTAAAGTATGCAAAAGCTAATCAATTTAGAGAACATTTATAATTACCTTCTCTAGTGAAAGCAGCTAATAGTCGAAGTGGCACTAAAATATTGGTTTTTTCCAAGAATTCTTTATTAATTCTTTTTTGTAAATATTTAGATTCACTAAATCCTTCAACTAAAAACATAATAGAGATATCAGGTTGTATATTAATTTAATAATTCGATCAATTACTGGGTCAAATATTACTTTCACATTATTAAATTCAAATTCTATAATCTGGTCATTGTCTTTTAATTCAACTCTTGAACTATCTATATAACCTTATAAAGCTGGATAAACTTCATTTAATTCATTTAAAAGTGCTGTAATTTTCTATTTCTCCAGTAAATAAAATTTTTACATTCCTATTAAATTCTTGGATCATATATTGAAGTTGATTTTAGTTGTTTATTTTTAATTTTTTCAGAGCACTATATCCTAATTTTCATTCTATAAACCTGAAAAATTCCCTATTAACATAATCCACCATAAAATTTACTAGTTCGCATTTTTATTTCTCCCAATCTTTCACAAGACAATAACTGTCGAATGATTAAACTCACTATTAAACTTTCACAATCCACAATTAAAATATTTGCTAATCAAAAAAGAAATTGCTTATATCTTTATCTTAGGAGGAAATAAGAATAAAGCTAGAAATTATAAACTACTTACATCTCTCGATATAAAAATCTTGTTCATTTATACACATAGTTTTTTTAAATGATTGCCAGAAGTTATTAAACAAGAAGAATGCAAAATTCAAAAAATATGAAGGATTATTTTGATATAACTCATTCATTACTTTGGCTATTAATAAGATATTTAAACACTATTAGAATAAAATTATAAGAATATTAAATGTTTATTTTGCTTGAATAAACTTACATCTTATAATAATGATTAGCCTTTCAGAATTTATTATAGAAGTTAAGTTTATTATATAAGAGCACTCATTCAATATATCCATTATATCTGATATTTCTTCTGGAATTACTAATATAATTAGAACTTGTTCTATAAAGTTTATATTAGGTCATCGAATATTTATTGTTTTTTTACTTAGCTATAAAGTTTTAAATAAAGATTAAATAGAATTTCTTTTAAATATTTAATGCATACAATACTTACTTTTCCTAAAAGTTTTAATGTTCAATATTATAATTAGTACCATTATTAATTACAAACAAAAGTAATAATTTAATATAATTAATTTACCAATTTCTCGTAAATAATTAGCAATTGCTCTTTTATAAGATAAACCTTTAGGTAAAATAGGTTTTTTATCTTCAGGTATATTACTTAAATGCAATATAAAATCTTTAATGAGAACTTGTTTTTTACGTAGTTCAACTAAGGCTGCATTTCCCTATGATTCAACATTAAAATTTTCATCATAAAGTAATGCAGTATTTATTTTTAACATTCCAATTGATTCTGACTCACAATTATTTATGATTATATCTGGATTTAATACATTTGTATATGTAACTTTCTATATACAGAAAATATATAAATTTACTAAGTAAATAAATTGAACAAAATAACTGTATTACTTATTGAATGATAAATTCAGATATCTTTACAATTAATTTAGAAAATTGTCTTAATAACGTTTACAAAATAATCAATTATAAATAGAAATTTACCTAATGCAACAATATTACAAATATATAAATAATTATTTAATAATTTTATCCCATCATAATTATGTTGTGATTTTATTATATTAAAAAATTGTTTAATTCAGGAAGAAAATTTTCTTTCACTTGATATCATAACTTTATTTGCACCTGATTCCACAACTTGATTTATATTTGTTTGCGATGATTGGTCATCTAAATTCTTATTAATTTTATTTGATTTTGATTTTTCTACATTTCTCTAATCAATATTTTGAATCAAATCAGAGAGATTTGATTCATCTATCTGATCAAAATTTTGAATCAATTAAGATAATTCTTCATACAAAGAATAATTAGAATCAGAATTATTCAAAAAAAGTCATTGTTGTTCAGATAATTGAAGATTTGATACATCAACATTTTTAGTAATGTTTGCTTTTGTAATAATTGCATTTAATCTATCAGCTACAATATTTATAGTTAGACGATTATCTGGCTCATTATCCTAACACTCTAAAATCATAAAAATTTGTTAATGATTGTTATACATTTTAATTAAATATTATGATAATTTATTTACCTGTATAAAAATTTACATAATCTTCAGATGTATCAGGAACTACAGATTCTCTAAAACCTTACATAATTTTTATAGCTAAAGAAATGTCATATTCATCTTCAACATAAAAAAAAGAATGATCGCTTGAAATTTCCCATTATAATAAAATAATAAAAATAAGATAAACTATAAAAACATAAAAAGAAATAAAATAAATTATAGATGTAAAAAAAATTATATATAAAATAGAATAAATAAAATAAATAGGTTATACAAAAATACAAGAAAAATAAAAGAAATAGATAAAATAGAAATTATTATTGATTACTATTTAATACAGGTAGGTGATCATTTAATATGATTTTATTATTAATTAGTAAATTTTACATAATATTTAAAGTTATAATTTCTTCTGTTAATAATATTAATGTAAAATTTTATTATTTTTTATTATCTTCTATTTTTAAAATTATAATATAAGTAAAATTTGTTCATTTTCATTCAGATTTTTTGATTATACTAATAAGTAACTGTTATCTATATCAATGGTTAATTATATTTCAGATATTAGAGTTCTGAATGAGTCAAGTCGAGTTAAGTTTAAAGATCAACTCTATTTGACTCTCTTTTTTCGAGTTGAGTCAAGTCAAATTTATTTTATAAAATCTTTCAATTTGATTTGATTCGAGTTATATAAATTTTAAACTCAACTCAATTTTAACTCGATTCGATTTTGAAAAAAAAATAATAAAAAAAATGAAAAGATCAGGAAGGAGGGAGAAAGTGAACGATTTGTTATCGTTCTTCTTGAACGATTTTTTTTATCATTCAAGTTAAACGATTAGTTATTGTTCTTCTTGAACAATTGTTTTTATTATTTAAGTCGAATGATTAGTTATCGTTCTTCTTGAATGATTGTTTTTATTATTCAAGTTGAATGATTAGTTATCATTTTTCTTGAATGATTGTTTTTATCATTTAAGTCAAATGATTAGTTATCATTCTTCTTGAATGATTGCTTTTATTATTCAAGTTGAATGATTAGTTATTATTTTTCTTAAATGATTGCTTTTATAATTCAAGTCAAACGATTAGTTATCATTCTTCTTAAACAATTGATTTTATCATTCAAATTGATCGATTAGTTATCGTTTTTCTTAAATGATTGTTTTTATCATTCAAGTCGAATGATTAGTTATTGTTCTTCTTGAACGATTGTTTATTATTTAAGTCAAATGATTAGTTATCATTCTTCTTGAACAATTGCTTTTATTATTCAAGTTGAATGATTAGTTATTTTTCTTCTTGAATAATTGCTTTTATCATTCAAGTCAAATGATTAGTTATCGTTCTTTTTGAATAATTGTTTTTATCGTTCAAATTGAATGATTAGTTATTATTCTTCTTGAATGATTACTTTTATCATTCAAATCAAATGATTAGTTATTGTTCTTCTTGAACGATTGCTTTTATTGTTCAAGTTGAACGATTTAGGTCATCATTCTTCTTGAATGATTTTTTTTATCATTCAAGTTAAACAGTTTCTTATCATTCTTCTTGAATGATTTTTTTTATCATTCAAGTTAAACAGTTTCTTATCATTCTTCTTGAATGATTTTTTTATCATTCAAATTGAACGATTTCTTATCATTCTTCTTGAACAAATTTTTTATCGTTCAAGTCGAACGATTTCTAATCATTATTTTTGAATGATTTTTTATCATTCAAGTCGAACGATTTCTTATTGTTCTTCTTGAACAATTTTTTTATCGTTCAAGTTCACTCGAGTCAACTCGAGTCAACTTGAATCAGGTTGAGTTTAAATCGAATCAAGTTAAATATTTAACTTGACTTGAATTTAGCTTGACTCGCAAATCATAGAGTCAAAAAAACATAAACTCGACTTGATTTAAATTCGACTTAGCTTATCTAACTCATGAGTTAACTCAACTTGTCTAGAACTCTTTCAGATATCATTATTACTGATTAATCATCAATGATTTTAAATGTAATAAATTTACTATAGAAATATAATTTTTATAAATTATATGATATGATATAAATGTTTAAAAAGATAAACTTATATAACTGATTTTAAGATAATTTTGAATTTTACTGAAAAATAAAATTTTCTTTTTTGGATTTATATAGTATTTCATAATTTAATGATTAATTATATAAGGTAATTTAAATGTAAATATCTCATAATTATCAATATTTTTAAATATATAAATTAATATTTTCTAAATAAATGTTTTATGTTTTTATTCATTTATTTTCAATATTATTTTATTAAATTTTTTAATTACATTATATTATATTAATTAAAAAATGTGTATTTTATTTTTTTATATTTTTTTAGATTTTGTATAAACTTCAAACTAAAGTAAGTAATTTGAAAAAAATAAAGTAATCATTAAATTAGAATATTATGTTAAATACTATTCATGAGAAATAAATTATTAAAATTATATTAAAGATTATATAATTTATAATATTTGTAACTTAATTATAATAGGTAAGTCTTCTATATATACATAATTAATTTTTTTTTTTAATTCTTTTATTATATTAAAAAGTAAATAGAAAAGTACTTTACCTTTATGAGTTATTTTGTAAGTATTCTAATTAAAGCTGAAAGACAAATTTTAAATAAAAATATAAAAATACATATCAGGAAATACTTATAGAACATTTAACTTTATTTGTTAATTGATAGTTTTTATTTTCATTTAATTAAAAATAAGATTATAAAAAAAAGAAATTTGTAAATTTTTTTATAATTACTTAATTTTATAGATAATAAACTATATCTTTAATCTTAATTATAAAAAAAAATTGCTAGTTTATTTAATTATAATAATTTTACTCAAAGTAGTTAAGAAAAATAAATAAAAGAAACAGTTAATAAGAACATAAAAATTAAATAAATTGCTTATATATATAATTTGTTTAAAATTAAGATTTATCTAATTTCAGATCTTATATTTGAAATTCAAATTCTATTCAATTTCAGATGTCATCTGAAATTAGAATTTAACTGAAATTAAAATGGTTACACAGAAATTAACCAATGACAAAAATTGGAAACTAATTTCACAACCTACGAAAATCAATTTCAGTTACGTTTATGCACCTAGAAGTTTTTTTTTAAAAATTCAATGTATCAGTCATCATGTTTTTTATGCCAAATGAAAATTCAAAATCAAATTAACTATTTCCTTTCATAACATATCGCTATGAATACAACTCGTGCATCTTTATCAATCTGTATGCAGAAACGTAACATTTTCATACGAAAATATAGTAAATACAACACCAAATTTTATGTTCTCCCTACATTCAATTATGTATTGTAAACAATTTTTTAAATAATATGGACGAGCTTATGCGATTGCTTCATTACAACGAATAATTGATGCGATATTAGAATTAAAAGAGACGAAAAATTAATGATAATTTTTTTTGTACACAAATTATATTAAATCAATAAATATTTGTATCTGGTCAATGGTGTTTAATACCCGAATTATTTAACTAACTATATTATATCACAATAATTTTGCTTTAAATGGACAATATTCAGATTCTTCCGCTCATCCATTAAAATTATTATTTTGCAAATCGTTTTTATTTTCTTAATTCTTATTTATTAATTAAATTATCACTTGGATCGTTTATATCAATTTTTATTTTCAATAAATAACTTTTTTGCAGAAAGAGAGTATTTAATATATATTTTTCATTTATTTAAAGAAAAATAATGAAACAAAGGAACTTATTATAAAATGAATAGTTTATTTTATATCATATTTTTTTCATATTTTGAAGTGGAACACGTGATCATTTATACAATTTTTCATCAAGCGTCCTTATCCCAGACTCACGGGGCTAGAATAAGCAAACCGACCCCCGGTTTAGGTCGGATCACGTGAACTAAATTTTATCATTAGAAAATTTCTTTTTAGATAAATTTGTTTGAAAACGTCACGTTATTTATTCTTTAATAATTTTGTATCACTGCACCGCTTATCGGACTTTTTAACGGTTTCCGATTTTCAGTCTTGGCAGTTCATTCTATAGTAGTTAATTTATATTTACCAAATTTGGTAAGTTTCGAATATTTCAAAGTGAGCTATCATTAAAAGCGATTGTCATGTCATGTTAAATATTCCTTACTTATCCAATCAAATCAAATTTCGAAAACAGCAAATTTTATTGAGATCTTCATGTGGCATAAGAATTTTCTTTTTCGAAAGTTCGAAAGCTAACACATGACATAAATTGATTGACCATCTATGAAAGGTAATTTTACAAAGGAAAAAAAAAAAATTTGCCATTATTTATGAATCATTAGAAAAATATGTTCAACATTTATCTTTATATTTTTTATGTCTGAATTTGCCTCCGAAGCTACTACTGCGGAATAAAGTTTCACGTTAAAAGTTTGCGTAACCGTATCAATTAATTGTGCATCGCACAAAGTCACAAGCTTTAAGTTTTGGTGATACCACTAGTATATAAATAGAGAACAAATTCACATTCTAGTTTCGATTTCTTTAATAAGATTCTTTGAAAAAAAAAAAAAATAAAAAAAAAAAATAAAAAAAGAAGGGATATATTATATAAATATTCCTTGATTACACGAAATCATAAAATTTTTAAAATTTTGAACATGACTGAAACTAGGAACAATAACTGGTATTTAAACAACTCTTTTATCCGGTATTGTAATTTAAAAAAATTTAGACTTTCATGTATATTTTATAGGCCACCATGCTACCCGATAATCTATCATAATATCCAAGCAGATATTCTTGACGGTGATTCCAGACGTATGACAGAACAGTCATATAAATTATGGTTATGTAATGTATCATTTATTATTGCTTTTTGTTTTGACGTTAAATTATGGCTCAGTTATCTAAAAAATTTTTCATTTCTAGTTTATGTTGTTACCTTGTTCTTTAATCTCGTAGCTGTCGTCGTAACTTCAATTTCAAGGAATGATGGAATTAGCATCATTGGTCAGATTCTAATAGCTGTATTATATTTACTCGCTTGGCCATTATTCGATTTCTTTTGTAGACATCGATCCTTATATCAAGCATTCCAGTAACTATCGAATTAACCATTTTCACCTTTTTTTTTGTCATTTCAAGCTAACGTCATCTCGTTTTAAAATTTTCTTTTATGCAGACATAATAACCAAAATCGATTTAGATGGTTCTTCCTTAATACATTCCTTGACATTGTATTTGGTTCGTTTATAGGTTTAGGGTGGTTTTACGGTGGTGGAGGTGGAGTGATCGCAATGTCTGATAATTTTAAAAATGAACGTATTGTTGCTGGAGTATTTTGTGCCATTTGTGTCGCTTTGGTTTTAATTCAAGTTACCTTGCATATTATCTTGTTCCGTAAGGTAATTAATCATCCTCTTTTATCTTTTAAATAATATTTTGTTGTTTTATTTTCGATTTACTCACCTATATAAATTGAATAGGTCTATGCGCATTTTAAAACTCATGATGATTGGACTTTGTTGCCCGGTCAAAAGAATAAGTCAAGTAAAGAACAAGCGCGAGTTTAATATATTGTCCTTGGGAAAATTTTCGAAACATGTTATTATTCTTATCGTTATCACATAATCACAATCAAATAAAGATATGAAGTATAATTATAAATCGTTACGTCTTGATGATTAATTTGGAGCAAAACTTGTAATTAATGTTTAGTAAATGATCAAAAAAAAAAATGTTCACTTTGTACTAATTTTAAATTAAAATTGAATGCTATTAAAATATTATTTAATTTAATTAGTAAAAAAATTTTTATTAAATTACACAATTTTTGACAATAATGTTACACAAATTTTATGATTATTTAAATTTTTTTTTTTTTTTCAAGGAATACGATTAATTTAATAAAAATCTATATAATATATAATATGAATCAATAATCTTCGATAGGGTTCTTAACTCCTAATTAATCACAATACGAAAATTTTAAATTCATAGGTTTGCATTCAAAAAACACAAATGAGGTCATTGCAGCAATGTGAAAATTTTAATAATTATCTCTAAATAACTTTTTACTTTTTCAGCATTTTATTTACTGTAATTCTAGTTGCAAAATAAGAGAATAAGTAAAAGCCGCAAATTTTAAGAAAAATTTCCTTGCTATGAATTATATTTTTTTTTTTTATTTATTATTTCGAAAAGAGTTGCCGTCAACAGAAGGTTAAATAAAGTAAAGATTTGCGACGACATTAACCTAAATAGAAATTTTCAAAAACGGTTAAAAAGGAATGATATTCGATGGGCTGAAATTAATTTCACCATTTCTTACAAAAAAAAAAAAAAAAATAAATAAATAAATCGTAAAATGGTTAACTTAGAAAAAGGTTTGAAAGACTTGAATAAAAAAATTAAAGATTTATTACAAAGCAAAAAGAAAGCCGACGATGAAAATCAGTTGCTACACTCCTTTTTATTGAATGAAATCGGTAGTAATGATTTAGATAATTTAAAAGAACTATTAGCGGGACGAAAACTTACTGAGATATTAGCAGAATTATGTAATCTAAAGCAAGTCATCCTAAATTTAGACTTTGATTTAACAA